TCTTATTTTCTTATTTTAAAAGGGGCTCCAAATATTAGTTGTTATTATTACTGATACTTGGAACTATTACATTTGGATTTGGATTAGAGATGTGCATGACTTAAATCGTGCCTCTTCATATGAAATAACCTGTGTGGCACCATAGGTGCCACACAGATCCTCCTCCCATTCCCTGGAATGGCAGGGCTACTCACCTTGCACCATGCACTGCTGGGATCCTTCTTCTCTAGCAGCTCTCCAATCCAAGCAAGAGTTTGGGCTGCCTGTCCCATCTCCTCTGGCAGCTGACCACTCATCAGCTGCAGTGGGAGAATACCCATCTTGCCTCCTTGTTGGAGTGATTGGCGGCTGGAGGAGGCAGGTGTGGACATCCTGAACTCCTGCCTGGATTAGAGTGCCACCAGAGAAGAAGGACCCAGCAGCATGTGATGCAAGGTGAGTGGCCCAGCCGGGCCGGGGAGTAAGGGAAGGATCCGTGCAGCATCTGTGCAGGTTACTTCATTCAAAGAGGTGCAACTTAATTCATGCCCATCTCTAATTTGGATATATTTGGAACTATCTGAATTTGGATTATTCAGTGAATTCTGAATATTTCTGAATCTGAATAAACATCTCTAGATTTAATGGAGTCTGTGGGGCACTGAACCCTATAGCACTGGGTACTTGATTAAAAAGAAGGTGGTACTTATGATGATCCAATCCACCCTCCACCCCTAGCTTATTTGACTTTCTGTGACTTTGATGCCAACTGAACATAAATGATGGAGCTCCTTGTTTGAGAGATTATTCAGGGACACGTCGATTCCTGCTACTGCTCCTCCTCTTGCTACTTCTACTGCTGCTGTTTGTGGCACCTTCACACACTCTCTGCCCTCCAGTTAGTTCCTACATCATCAACCAGCTCTATTCCAAGTACAAGGCAGTAATGGCAACAGGAGAGGGTTAGCCACCTGTCAATCCCACTAACTACAATTGACACTTTGTGTTCACTGTTGCTGGCACCACCTTGCCATATGGAAATAGCACTGCAGCTGTGACTACCCTATATGTAGGATTTGCTACTATCCACGATTTCAGGCATTTGTGATAGATCTTGGAACATATCAACTGCAGATATTGGAGGGTGGAGAGACACCTGTAACCTTTTAAAAAAATCTTACTGTCACAGTAGAAGTGACCCTCCCCCTCCAAGCTTGGATCAGAAGAAGAAGAGAGGAGAAAAAGGGAAAAGGGGGAGAAAACTACCTTAGGAGATCAATTTAAGATAGAAGTCTTGCTCCCATGACTATTTGAAATGTCAATATCAAATCCTATTTACTTCAAAGCACTGCAGGTCCTTTAAATTTGTATTGTTGTGACTTGGTGACTGTGAGAACTTTCTACTTTGAGGGAAGCGCCACCCCCCCCTTTGGATCTGATATATAAATAAGATGGAGAAAGAAAAGTAAGATTACAGTGACATCTGCTGACAGAAGAGTTAAACATCATCCCTTAAAAAGGTAAAAGGTAAAAGTTCCCCTTGACATTTTTAGTCCAGTCTTGTCCGACTCTAGGGGTCGGTGCTCATCCCATTTTCAAGCTGTAGAGCCAGCACTTGTGCAAAGACAGTTTCAGTTGTCACGTGGCCAGCATGACTAGGGAACGCTGTTTTACCTTCCCACCGAGATGGTACCTATTTATCTACTCGCATTTGTATCCTTTCAAACTGCTAGGTTGGCGAGGAGCTGGGACAAAGTGACGGGAGCTCACTCTGTTGCATGGATTCGATCTTACGACTGATGGTCTTCTGACCCTGCAGCACAGAGGCTTGTGTGGTTTAGCCTGCAGCACCACCACATCCTTGCAGCGCCACCACATCCCAGCATTCCTTATATACTTAATTTAGAAAGAAATAAAAAATCAGTATGCAACAAAAGGTGGAAAAGAGAACTCAAAGATGCTCACTGGCACAAGAACAGAATCTCAGTGGGTTATTGTGGCAAGAGTCATTTAAGGACTGGCAACAACGTTCAAGTATTCAAGAGATGCTATCTACAGGGACACAGCAAATACAAGGAGGGATGGCTCAGCTATGTATACAAATGAAAGACATAGGGATATAAAAAACAAATAGCCAAAAAAGATGGGATATCAAAAAGAACAGAAGGAAGTCTGGAGACCTTGTGTACAGAGATGGGAGAACTAAAATGGGAAAGCAAGCAAGATGAAATTATGCTGTTAAATCTACAAATGGAAAGAGCCAATGCCATACTTAGATTCCAGAATCTAGACCAATGCCATACTTAGATTCCAGAATCTACAAGAACAAAAAGAAGATACTACTTATTTAGCACCGCTCATGGGGATGCGACCAGAGGATGTTCAGCAAAATATAGACACAACACAAAGAATTAATATAGCATACACCAGGAATAAAAATCTCCCCAGAGAAATTTATGTTAAATTTACGAGAAATATTTTTTGAGATAACGTTTTAAGAAATATACAGGGCAAGGAACCTAACATAAAAGATAAAGAAATTAAGATATTGAAACATAATCCATGGCAAATAAGACAGAAAAGAAGGCAATATGCATTCCTCTGGGGAACAAATTCAATTATGTGTAAGTGGTTGGTGCCTGAAGGTGTCCTCTTTGAATTCCAGGAGCAGAGTTACTATATTAATTCAAAAATGAAGAAGATTTTATGAAAACAAAGGGGAAATGGCTAGGCAGAAAAGAAGAGAAAAATGCAGATGAGAAATGAGACAAGAAGAAATCAAGTGGATCATCAGGATCAGAGGCAGAAGGAAGCTCGGCTTGAGTAGAAGAGCAAGTGAGAAACTCTAAAGGAAAGCGTACTATAGAAACATGAGGATCCAGGAGGAGGAAAGAAAACCTCATCAGTAAAGAGGTACTAAATAAATAAAGCATGAAAGTGAAAGATGAAGTGGTTAAAAACTTTAAAATGAAATGGATATAAAATGGTAGAAGAATAACGATGTTTAAAAATCAGTAACAGTTAAAGAAAATGTAGGTAAGGTGTTTTATGGATGGTACACGATTTACTGATGATACGCAATGCCAACAAAGTTTTTTAAAGGTGCAAAACTGTTTTTAAATAGTGTGGGAAACCTAAAACACAGGATGGCACTTTTATCATGTTTGGTGGATATATAGGGAATTATTGTAGGTGCATGAAAGTTTGAAAAATATTCTATTTCACACAACAACATTTAAACCATTTCCCCCTCTTTATTGAATATTATTCCTGAGATATTAGATAGAGAAATGAAATATGCATTCCCCTCTTTATTGAATATTATTCCTGAGATGTTAGATAGAGAAATGAAATATGCATGTAATTTCTACAGATAAGGTATTGGATGGAAAATATTAGAAGAAAACAGATATCCAGGAATTAGAGCTGACAGAAAAGAAATGGGAAGTCATGGAGATGGAGGAATCAGAAGTAATAAACAAAGATCACCTTAAAAAGGACTCAGAAAATATTAGAAGAAAACAGATATCCAGGATTTAGAGCTGACAGAAAAGACACGGGAAGTCATGGAGATGGAGGAAACAGAAGTAATAAAGATCACCTTTAAAAGGACTCAAAATTAGGGAATAATTTCATAATTAGATTTGAAAGATAGTTTGGAAAGCACAGATTAAAGAAGAATGTGAAGGTCCAATTAGGGAATAGATAAAGTAGTAACTATAGTAATACTGGGAAAATTTGTTGTTTTTCTTTTTATTTCCCTTTGTAGTATTAATTGTACAAGTTGATGCAAATGTATTATCTCACGCTCTGGAATTTTACTATCTCACGCTCTATCCATACCTGTCCCCCTCAACCCCAAATTTCCCTCCCCATAACCCTACCCCCATTGAAAAGAATAACATTTGAGCCGTAGAAAGAAAGAAAGAAAGAAAGAAAGAAAGAAAGAAAGAAAGAAAGAAAGAAAGAAAGAAAGAAAGAAAGAAAGAAAGAAAGAAAGAAAGAAAGAAAGAAAGAAAGAATCAAACTGGATACCTGCAAATCAGTGTGAATTGAATTAGGTTGTTTTCTGAATCAGTGAAGCAAGGTCAAAGCTTAATCTTGCATTTGATGCACAATAGAGATGGGCACGAACTGCCAGTTTGGTGTTTTGTGTCAGTTTATCCATTGGTCCAACAGGTGCTCCATCGTTCCAAGCCCCGCCTCTTCCGGTGGGCACCCACTCAGAGGGAGCACCCTGGCTCCCCTCTCCTGCCTCCTCCAGGTGCTGCTTCTGAATGGGCACCTGACTGATGGATGAACTGGCATGAACCACCATGCATCTCTAATGAACACCTGTAATATATTCAGCTGCAGGTTGATTAGCCATGAAGTCACTGGTAATGTGTTACAGAGCAATGAACATGCATAGTCCTCCAAAACACACAGAGCAAGCAATGCCTCCCTTTATAGTTCTCCATCTCTAAAATGGTAATATTATTGTCCTTCCTTACATGACTGTTGTGAAGATGAATGGGATCATAAAGCCTCATGTGCATTTAAACATATTTAATGCAGAACCACCCAACAGATTAAATTCTGTGCAACCGATGTTAACTTAAATCAGTATTCTAGACTAACAGCAGGGCATATCATTGTATCTCAGTATTATTTAATTTTATTGTCAGACAATTCTCTCTAAGGCAATGACTATGTTCCTTTTCACACATATTAATGTACTGATGATGCACTGCCTGTTCCAAAACATTTAATCTAAACCCACAAAATAAACAACTGCCTTTATAAGATTCCAAGGAAAATATATCTGTGCGAGAGAAAATAAATATGTGCAATAACCTTGAAAATTCACTGAAACTGAGCTGTAAATATCAGTCAATAAATGATATTCCCTTGGTCATTTCTTTCAATAAAGTTATGTGTGCAGAACTGTTATTATTTTAAGGGGGTTATGCAGTCATTATGGTTTCTGATAGCCATTACGTGACTTTAGTGTTCTGTTTTCTTATTTTTCTTTTCAAAACAGTTCTAGCCAAAAAAGTGATGATGATTATGAAGATTATACGACCAACAAAACCTGGGTTTTAACTCCCAAAGTCCACGAGAGTGATGTTACCCTTATTTTAAATGGACTGCTGGAGGGATATGACAACAAGCTAAGGCCGGATATAGGAGGTGAGGGTATTGTTATTGTTATTTTAATGAGAATGAAGAGAAAGAGGAAGAGAAGCCAAAATGTTTTCCATAGCAAAGAGCTTGCAAGAAAATGTGCATAAAATGTATAACGTACTTGACAACTGATACTTCTGTTCATGAAGCTATAACCCACCATTTCTGAAACAAGTATTTCAACTCTATACTTCTGATGAAGTTTTAAAAAAAAAATGTTATAGCTGATACTGTAGAGTTAAGAAAATAATAATAGCGACAAAAGACAAGTATGTTCATTTGGCTTGTCAGATCAGATAACATGAAGTCTGAGCCTCCCTATGAGCCCTATAGAACTTTATAGATATATGGGGCGGTGGAGGGATCAGAAGCCTGTGTTCTTCACAGCTGGCATATACATCAAAAGGGGTTAAATCCAACGTGACCCTGAGGAATATACTGCACATTGTGCAATCCTGCTTTCTTCTGACAATCCTTTATTTCACTGGTTCTTAACCTTAGGTTACTCAGGAGTTTTGGACTGCAACTCCCAGAAGCCTTCACCACCAACTGTGCTGGCTTGAGTTTCTGGGACTTGCAGTTCAAAAACATCCGAGTAACAAAGGTTAAGAACCACTGCTTTATTTATTATCCCCACACAAGATAAAAACTGAATGTCCAAAAAAGTTTCTGCTTTTCTTCCTTTTGTTGAATAGGCATATGAAAGCAGATATGAATATTTAAGTATACTTGTATACAGTATATAAAAACTTAACACAAAATTATAGAAATAAGGATATAAAAATGTAATGAACTTAAAAATATATAAGTAATGGCTCTAACTAAACTTGAAATGTTCCAGCAAAAATTAACATGGTGCTTTAAAAATACTCAAAAATAAATGTATTACAAAGACACATTTTCTAAAATTATAAATGCTTAATTCTCAATTAAGTTACATCTATGAAAATTATTGTATGTTAAGAAAATTACAGAAGTAAGAAACTACCAGAACACAAGCAATTAAAAATCATATCAGCATATATGAACAATCTTAAACCATCCCCAGCAGAGTTTTCTCCCCTTTAACAGTGCTCTCCTGGCATCCTTTGCTCCTTGCCTCAATTATCTTTTCTGGCAATTACTTATACCATTATCATCCCTTTATCAGTTAGAACAATCTTATCTGCAAGGATGGAAATTAGGAGATTAGACGACCAGGAAAAATGTTTAATCAAACTCTCAATTGTTCCAACAGAGTTTGTAACTTCTGAGGTTTCTAATCTAATTATTTGGCAAGTTCCCATTTTATTGATAACATTTGACTGAACCTTCCTTAAAGTCTGGAGTTACAAGTTCCACAGTGTCGGAAATTTAAAGCTTCTAAATTCTTAGAAGATATAAATAATGTAATGCAAAGGTGTTGGATCTATAAAAAGTGGAAACAATCAGACCTAAATAGGACACCTCTAAATTGTAATTAAAACATTGTTCACCTTCAGAATATTATGGCAGAGTGACCATGTCCAGCCTGAGAGTCCACCAATCATTTTGATTGCCCGCAGTAAACTATTTCCAAGCTGCACTTTAAATACAATTTCAGCTTCAGGACAATTTTTTCTGTACTCCTCTTAATAATTGTAATACATAATTTAAAACTGTGACAGGCTCAGTGTCGAAAAATATATGGGCAAAGTAGTAAATGAAATCAGGCAATTTGTTTCAAAATAGATAATTTGTTTCAAAATAGTATTGTACCACTTGGATGTAATATTTAACTGGGCTGCACAATTTCAGTTAAGATTGATTTAAGCATCTCAAGTCCTAGTATTCAGTTTCAACTGGATTGGGGATTAAGCTGTTAGTGAAAGATGACCGACACCAGTAAATGTTCCATAGAATGAAACAACATGATTATCCAGGTATAAGTATAAGAGACTATAGCATTTAGACAAAAAACATGCTCTTGTTGAGCCTTAACTGATAAGCATGGGTGAAGTTGATTGTCTGTATGAGAAAAAAACGAACATTCAATCATTGAGAAAAACAAGTCAAGAATGTCAGCCTTAGGAGGAACGTCCTGTCAATGAAAGCTGTTTGAGAATGGAATGGGCTGTTTGCATAAGGTGGGGAACTCTCCTTTGTTGGAAGTTTTTAAAGTGGTGGGGAAGCTGTTGATTACTATTGATTTCCTGCATTGGCAAAGGGTTGGACCTGATGACCCTTGGGGTCAATGTAAGCTTTTCAATTCTTCTTGATTCTATGCTGTGCCCTTTACAGCCTCTATAACACTTACGTGGTCATAAAAAGACAGGTTTTTTATGGGCACAGAGGGTGGCATAACCCTCTCATTAATTTGCCCACCCAGATATTCCATCCAACACCAAGTAGACAGGAGGGTTTGGGGGGGGAAGTTGCCATTATCTCTAAAAACACCTTAGAGGTTGTCAGGCTCTCTGCCTTGAGGATCCTGGGCCTTGAAGCCCTCCACGTGTTGATGACCCTTGGGGATGGATTTAGGATGGTGCTGTTCTACCGTGCTCCCCACGATCCAGCACTTTCCTTTCTGGAGATGGTAGACTTCGATCCAGCACTTTCCTTTCTGGAGATGGTGGACTTCATCTCGGTGGTGGCATTGAGGTCCCCCAGACTCCTTGTCCTGGGGGACTTCAATGCCCATGCTGAGATTGGGGCCACAGCTTCAGCTCTTGAGTTCTTGGAAAACATGGCTTCCTTGGACATGTCCCAACTTGTTAATGGCCCCACTCATGTGGTGGGCCACACACTAGACCAGATTTTCTCAACTGGACAGGGAAAGAATGGACCAGTGGTGACCTACTTGATATAGGTCCACTTGTCATGGTCAAACCACTACCTAATAAAATGCAACCTCTCAGTGGCACTCCCCCTCCATAGGGAGCAGGGACCTATTAAGATGGTCCGTCCCCACAGGCTATTGGATATTGTTGGTTTCCAAGATGAAATGTGTGGGATATCAACTGATCTAGTTAGTGCTCCTGTTGAAGTTCTGATGGATGGATGGCATGCTGCTGCCACCAGGGCAGCTGACATGATTGCTCCTAAATGCCCCCTCCATTGTCAAGCCCGTCAAGCCCATCCATAACCAGCAGCTATGGGTGTTGAACCGAAATAGAAGGAAGCTAGAGAACATTTGGAGACAGGCCCTGATGGTATCCAACTTAAAAGCCACAAAAAGTGCATCTAACATCTATTTAGCTAAAGTGAAGCCTACAAGAAGATCTTACTTTGCTTCCCAGATAAGCGAAGGCCGAGACCATCAAGCCGAACTATTTCGTATTGTACATGATTTATCTGGGGTTGGTCAAAGTGATAGGCCTCCCAGTAGTATCTTCTGTGACCATTTTGTGCCCTTCTTTAAACACAAAGTGGAGGCCATCTCCTGGGACCTAGATCTCTCCTCTTTACCAGTAGATCAAGCCGAGACATCCAATGTACTGTCTTGCCCAGTGAGTCTAACACATTTTCAGCCTGTGACGTCAGTTGAGGTTGACAGAGTGCTTGATCAGTGCACTAGACCCTTGCTCGGCCTGGCTCTTGAAAGTGGCCAGACCTTTAACAACAGGGTGGGCAACTGCTGTTATCAATGGGTCTCTCCTTGAGGGAGATCCAGAATTTGGAAGCCAGATTGTGAAGTCAAGTAAGGAGATACCAACATATCTCCCCACCCTGGCTTTTATGAGTTGAAATGAGTGCCCCCCCCAAGACTTGCATTGATGTGTCCTGAAAATATTCCAAACCATTTTGTGTACCCAAACATTGGGAAGGCATTGGCTTGCTTTATGTCCAAAATAATCCAAATGTAATCTGACCTATTCTCCCTCTATGATCCTCCCTCTTCCCTACCTCAAGCTTTAATGCTTGGCTTTCAGTCTAAGCCAGTGAAGAATTCGGGGTTCATCACCTGCTGATTCAGGCTCTTAAAACTCAAATTTGAGCTCAAGAACTACTCTTTTTGCTGGCTTCTCTGCCAACAGAAAGACTGAGGAATGTATGCTAACACTGGCAGATGCAATACAAAGAAAAGCTTTTTTCAGAATTATCTTGTGTATTTATTCTTAAACACATACCTATCGTTGAAGTCCTTTTCGGGTTATGTGGTATAAATATTAACAAAAAATATACCTAAGACCAAGTAATTGAACATTGACCAAAATCCTCTTGTGTAGTTATGCTGGTGTAATTTAACTTTTGGAAGCAAATGGCCTCAGGTTAAGATATTATCTGTTGCATAATAAATGTGACTCCACACATTATCGACAGTACCTATGGCTTTATTTCTAACTCTCCTGACTTGAATCACCTCCAAAAGTTTTGTCGTTGTGCCACTGTAACAGCTCAAGAGGATTTTGGCCATTAGTTTATGTTTATACATAGCAAACTGCTAAACATTAATACTTTTTGTAATGTTGTTGTTAGCCACTGAACTTTGTATACATCTCCAGTAACTCTGCAGGCTATGTCTATTCACTTTGCGTTAATTCTAGTAATAGGAAATGTCTGATGCAGTATGTCATGAGAAATTTTGGGGAAACAAAATACATGTTGAAATCCAGAAGCATAACTTATGCCATGTAAGGCTGATGGTGTGGTATTTCAGAAATTACTTTTTTCCTATTCCCGATCATTGAAGGTCCTGGGGCTCCTCTGGGATCCTTTTAGTCAAGGGGAAGCCATTGGAGGCCCTGGGAAGTCTTAATTTTTGGAAATCATCAGCAAAGGAATGATTTTGCTGTTGATGGTGATGATATTTGGTAATTAACGACTCTCCCCATTCTGCAGCCTCCAGCAGCATGCCCACAATGAAAGGGATCGCAAGGGAGCCTTGGGACGCTTGTGAGCAGAATCAGAAAATTTTAATTTCCAAAAAAACTGATGCCATCAGTCTTATGAACTGTTTAAGTTATGCTACTGAATTTCAGCCACAGTTTCTTCTTATTAAATGAAATGTCTAGCTTTATTTCTAACTCTGCCTGATGCACCAGCACTGACCTGATTATAACCTCATTAATGATTCAGTAGGATAAATGAGATCAAAATCAACGTGCTGATAACACAAGCATACTAAAATTGCTGATAGAAAAATAGCAGTCACAAGCCTTGTATAGGCATTATTATTTTTTTCTTGGAAAAACATGAGATCATTTTTTTTAGTTTTGGGGATCAGTTTTGTCGCTGTTTATTGAAATAAAATGTACCTGGCCAGGTGAAATTGACCTCCTTTGAACCAGACTTCTCCAACCTCCATGTGCCTTCTAGATACATTTGGCTGTAATGCCCGTCTGAACATAGCTTATGCATCTGGGAAGCCTAGATTAATATACGTAAGTTGTATTTATGGTTTAAAAAACGTTTTAGTGATACTAGCAGTTTTTCTTATTTTTGTTACAGTGCAACCAACAGTAATTCACACTGATATGTATGTCAATAGCATTGGTCCAGTGAATGCTATCAATATGGTACGTAACAATTGTTCATAAATGTCAAAATATTTGTATTGCTTATTACTATGTTCAATTTGGGATGCCAAATGTGGTGAAGTGGATAGAGTGACAGACTGGGAGGCCTGGGTTCAAATCACCACTCAGACATGGAGCTTACTGGGAATGTAGAACTGGTAAAGCCACTTATTAAATACTTCACTTCCCTTGAAAGCCTGGTTAAGGTTGCTGTAATTTGGTTTTCACTTGACAGTATATAACAACATGTGCCCTTTATATATAATTGAATTTGGTCCAGAAATATGCCAGAAGAAAGGGTGGAAGAAGGGTGAGAGTTGACTTTTCTGACATTTCTTCACCCTAGCAGTTCTATCTGAGCATCTTGTTGGGACTTAGTGGGTAGTAAGGATTACTGAAAATTGCTTGAGCCCATTCTGTATCTGAGATGCTAACTTAGTTCTTAGATGGTGTTTCTTTAGCTAATGTGTACTTGCTGGCTATGTCCAAGTTGTTGTCTCAGATCCTCTTATTGCCCCAAGAAGACCTTGTCCAAAATTCTCTTGGGGCAATATGCCTCCAGTGTTGCATATTTGCTATGCATAATAGGCAAATTACACTGGAGACATATTGCCCCAAGTTAAGAAGCAATGGCAGACATTAACGGTTGCACATAACTCATATGAATCTGATGCAGTTCTGCAAATGATAATGTGTACAGTGATCTCTTACCTTGGGGCAATTCATCTCCAAATGTTATGCTTTTTGTGCTCTGCCAGCATAACCAGGTGAGAAGATCTGAGCTGCTGATACCTATTTTTTTGTATCCTCATTTGAAAATCTTCCATTCACTCATATTAATTTTAATGTACATCTTGGATACATTTTATCTCCGTCCATTTGCCAAAACAGGCAAAACAGCATGTCAATTATGAATAGCCAAAATGAGAATTATAGCAACACTACCTGGGTGGTTTGATGCTCAAAAAAGTTAAACTTAGTATTCTGATTAGAAAATTAATATTGAGGTTTTTTTTAAATGCAGATTATGTTCTCTTGCACAGCTTCATAATGATTAGGGAAAATGGGTGGGTGGGTGAAGAGAGCTAAACTTAAAGCATGATGAATGATAATGATATGATGATAGTCAACCAGAAGCACGAACATCTTAAAATGAGGAGGTCAGTTCTGTTGCTGATCAGGCTACTAATGTGACTTTCTTGACCTCTTCTATGAAATGGGCACAAAAGCTGTGCCAAGCAAGATTGCAGAGATTTCGAAATTAAGACCTGTCTGAGATCTATGGAGTTTTATATGATATGATGATAGTCAACCAGAAGCACAAACATATTCTTAAAATGAGGAGGTCAGTTCTGTTGCTGATCAGGCTACTAATGTGACTTTCTTGACCTCTTCTATGAAATGGGCACAAAAGCTGTGCCAAGCAAGATTGCAGAGATTTCGAAATTAAGACCTGTCTGAGATCTATGGAGTTTTATTCTGATGTTTTTGTTAATACTGCAGGAATATACAATAGATATATTTTTTGCTCAAACCTGGTATGACAGACGACTAAGATTCAATAGCACTATAAAAGTGCTGAGGTTAAACAGCAACATGGTGGGGAAAATCTGGATACCAGACACATTCTTCAGAAATTCAAAAAAAGCTGATGCTCACTGGATCACCACACCCAATCGGATGCTTCGGATTTGGAATGATGGCAGAGTATTGTATACACTAAGGTACCTATGCCACTCTTTCAATGTTATCCAATGTGTACAGTAAGGATGCATCTTGCACAAAATCCAAAGCTCCGTCCAAACAGGACTGCTCTGGTGGTTTCTGAAGTGAAGCAGCAGAAGCTTCATGCAGGAGTTGGACTTTAGAAGGGCCCAGACAAATATTGTGTCTTTTAGTTTTCATTTCTATAAAGACACAGACAATTTGGGGATGAAGGGAGTGAGATGTAGATTAATAGGGACATCCTCTAACCCTTATGAGGGGCTTTTCAGTTTCTTGCTTTGGGTTGTGGCAACAGTGAGACTGGGAGAAGGCTGTTTGTCCAAGGCTACCATATTTTACCATTGGTTCCCAAGTGTCATGTCAATATAGCCATTGGATAACCGAGGTGTTCTTGAACTGTGCTAGCCGGGGATTCTGGGAGTTCTAGTCCAAAAATCACCTGGGTTACACAAGGTTGGAATCACTGGACTAAATAATCACTCAGCCTCAGGCAACATTTGAGTTTTCTCCATTGTTGGTTCATGCAGCACTGTTTGGCCTGGGGTTTTATGTTCCAGAGTAATGCTCTTGGACCTCTTAAGCTTGAGATATTTTAGATTCTCAACAGGTCTTAATCTGGTTTTGTTCATGAGGAACTTAGGATATTTTAAATATCATGTTGGAAAGATCTCAAAAATGCACAAGTAAAAATTCCCATTTCCCCTTAAGACCTGCACGCCAGTATCCTGTTAAACAGAACATCCATTCAGCATAATATTGTGGGCCTGTGCCATTTGTGTGAGTGTTGTGCCTTGTACAAAGGAAGGATGGGATTTCTTCATGAAGACCAGTTCTTGTGGAATGGTAACACTTGTGTAAGTGGTGTGATCCTGCAGTGCTGTGATAGTGGGACTTTCTGCTTAGCAGAATCTCAGTAGGATACTGGCCTTAGTGACAGAAGAAAGCAGAGTGAGGATTTCACATCCTAATCAAAACCTATTATGGAAAATATTAGAAGAACAAGAGCTATATAGATTTTTTTAATCTTCTTTGGAAACATGTATCCTTCATTTTTATAGCTATGCAATGCTATGATAGTGGGACTTTCTGCTTAGCAGAATCTCAGTAGGATACTGGCCTTAGTGACAGAAGAAAGTAGAGGGAGGATTTCACATCCTAATCAAAACCTATTATGGAAAATATTAGAAGAACAAGAGCTATATAGATTTTTTTATCTTCTTTGGAAACATGTATCCTTCATTTTTATAGCTAGAGAAAGCCTAGAGCTATGAACAATATAATTGTATTATGGTAATAAAGTTTGTATCTGTTTCTTCATAGATTGACTATAGATGCTGAGTGTCAGCTACAGCTGCATAACTTCCCGATGGATGAACATTCTTGTCCCCTGGCATTTTCAAGCTGTAAGTAGTGAACCCAGACTAATGGGCTCCTTTTAAGAAATAACAGAAGAATACAAGTTTTGAAATAAATTAGTGAGCAAAAGCTCTGTTGTCGAGCAAAATAAGGTCACAACCCAATGTTCTTTTGGAGACAATTTAAGGGCTATAGGGTTTATTTGGAACTTTTTTATTATTTAATTTTATTTACATACAGAAACAACAACATTTTACAACAACATTCCAGTAATCTTTTAAATGACCCCTCATCCCTTTGAGAAATAGATATATTCTTGCTCTAGGTTTTCCCCTTTTCCTTCATTCAATATGGCATTTATAAAGTCATCCCATATCTCATTAAATTTATTGATATTTATTGTTCCTTTATAAAACTTAATTTCAGGTGTCAGTTTATTGCTAATCACAATATTCCAGATTTTGGATCTTCAAGGGAGATTCCTCAGGGGTTTCTGAAATGGTCTGCAGCTAGCGCTGTTTCAGTATTTCTATTCAGACATCTGTGACAGACATTATTGAATCAGAGCTTCCTGTGTTCGTTATCTGCTTGGAAGATCTAATTGACCAATATAGCCAAGGAAATCCTGAATCAGCTTGCTTGTATTTGATGCCAACTTTGAGTGCAGTTCAGCAAGACTTAAGAAAGAAGGAATAGGTGTCCCATTACTGATATCTTGTTACTGACATAATAGAGACTGGGGGACATGTGACAAGATCCCCATTGAGGCATCTCAGATTTTGAGCACTACATAAGGGAGCAGGTAGTCTTTGCAAACCCTGTTGTAACACACAGAAACATATTCATTGCAGTGCCATTGCTGAGTAGGCAGCAGTTTCTCATGAAAACCTACAACTAGGTTTTCATAGGAAACAATATTGTGATATTAAAAAGTTATATAAGGGCCCAGGGTGACAGATGTTTCTAGACAAAAATCCACAACGGTGCCTGGTTTGTTGGATTTGGCAATAGGGGACTGTTATACTAGTTGAATTTTTATTCTTGTTAATGCTGTGGGTCTATCTCCGTTTTTTTTTTTTTTTTAATTCTCCTGAATCTTGTCTCCTTTTGCAATGTGTTCTATGGTAAAGAAAAGGAAACCAGCCTGTTCTCAGAGTGATCTCTTAAATATTTACTTCTGTCTGTCCTTTAACACACAGTCATATCATTTTAGGAGTGACATTTGGAAGTAGGAGATTTGATCAGGCTAAGTTACTGCCCAGCTTTGTGCAGGCAAAAACAATAAGCAAACAAGCCAGATGGCATATTTTGAGAAAAATTCACAACCAAGGCGGAATTTGTCACATGTCGGATGTTCTCTGGATGTTCTCTAGGCATTCTGATGCTGAGAAACACTGTGGATCCATGGGATCCAAAGTCCGACACACGCTCAGAAAACTAAAAGAGCTGTGGAACTGAGGCAGTTCATTTCCCTCCTATTTGAATCAATGGGATGGAAAACTTTGCAAACAAAGCACAGGGAGCATTCTAAAGCATCCCTTTTAGTGGTGGTGGAGGGAGGCAGAAAAAAGAAGCAATGCTAGGCTGGTTGGGGCCAGGGAGGGTGTAGTTCCACCCATTTGGAGGCCAGGTTGGGAAAGGCTAATCTAAGCAGAACCTTGTAAATGAGAGAGGGTGGGAAGAAAAAACTACTGTATAAACTGATTATACTGTCATGTGGGCAGAGATGTTGTGGCCATTGAATAAGCTGAGAAACCTGTTAGTTTATTCCTTGATTTATTTTTATCTCAGCCTTTCGCTAAGCTCAGGATCATGTGAGCTCGTTATGCATGAATTATCCCCTTATATTTTATCCTCACACAACAACCTGTGGTTCCCTTGTTGGGATAAATGTGGCATATAAATGAAATTAATAATAATAACAATGGTTGTTGTGGGTTTTGGGGGCTCTTTGGCTGTGTTCTGAAGGTTGTTCTTCCTAACGTTTCGCCAGTCTGTGTGGCCGGCATCTTCAGAGGACAGCACTGTCTCACAGTCATAAATACTCCACTCCCAAGCCAACTACACCAGAGCACAGAGTGCTGTCCTCTGAAGATGATGGCCACAGAGACTGGCGAAACGTTAGGAAGAACAACCTTCAGAACACGGCCAAAGAGCCTAAAAACCCCCACAACAACCATTAGATCCCAGCCGTGAAAGCCTTCGGGAATACAATAATAACAATAATAATAACCTGTGTGGTGACTTGGGCGGGGAGAGGGAGGGAGTGGCTCAAGCATATTCAGAGTAGTCCCATCACAGCTCCTGTACTGGGACTAGAGCTGATTTCCCAGCTTAGGTTGCAATACCAAACCCAACGTACAATACCAGTTTCCCCACAAAATAATGTTTGCAAAAGCATCCCCTATAAGTTAGTTGTAGTTCTTATTAGAGATTTCTCTGGTACATAGTGTAGACAATGGTCATGAATAAAGCATTTACCACTTTGACCCACTGATTTTGCATTTATAGACATTTTTCCCTTGGTAACCTTCAGCTGTATTAGACTGCACCTCCCATGCCATGTTGGCTCCTGGTGATGGCAGTAGTAATCAAACACATCTAATTGCCAGGAGTTTGGGAGGAGCTGGTATATGTGTTCATGTGGCCCATCATATTTACGTGCACTTTTAAATCCCCAAAGAAATTTTCAGAGATCAGCCATAGCTCTTTCAGAGGACAGGAACCTCAGAGCTTTTGTCTTAAGAAACAGTGTCTTTAAAGCAGTTTAGTATAGTGGGGGCTGAAAGAGACAGCTTTGCCTTTCAGTAGCTGTTTGGAATGGCAAAGCCCTTTGTACGCTTTGTTGCATGTTGATTTCACTATGTAGACAGAGGAGGGTGAATCCACCAATGGGTGCCACATGGCTCCATGTAGCTTCCAAAGACCTGAATGAATCCAGCATCTAGGGACATCTCAGTACTCCCTTTCCATTTTTCAAAAGTACCTTTTAAAAGCATTTCCCCTCTGCACTTCAGTGGTTATAAGGGCAATTCATCCCATATTTTGAGGGGCCTGGACCACTTTGCAACCCCATTCACTCCCTGAAATCCAGTAAGAACACCACCTTTTTGGGGAAAAAAAGGAAAATTAAGGGTTGGGATCAAGTATTGAAGCATTGTATTCACCTCTGCAATGTCCAGGGATCAGTATGTGGAGTCCCCAGATGTTCTGAGATCAGCTACCCTCTGCCTGGGGGTGAATGTCATTCATGTCTGTGTGGCCAAAGGAGAGCACATGAATGAAAATAATGATAGACTGGTGATGTTTGTTGTTTTGAAGATGGCTATCCAAAAGAAGAAATCATCTACATGTGGAAGCGCAGTTCAGTGGAAGTGGGGGATACGAGGTCCTGGAGGTTGTATCAGTTCTCATTTATTGGGCTCAGAAATACTACTGAAGTGGTGCCCACAACTTCAGGTAGGTAAAGCTGCTATACTTTGCATAGGAATGTCCCCTTCATAAAGGCTTGTATGAAAGGGTTGTGTGGGAAGAGGTCAATATTGCGCTTGCTATGTAACAAACAGGCTGGTCTAGCCAGGTGTTACATTGAATGTGTGTGGACTAAATGTAGGGATGGGGCATGAAGGTGTGCATATTAGGCCCATTCCTGGTGTCCCTTGGCTTTCTACTCAAGGCTCATATTTTTAGAATCTTTAGCACAAATCCCTGAAGAAGTAGATATTTTTTCCCAATGTGCATTTAGGTGAATAGGTTTAGAAACCTTTGTGAGTTTGGAAAATCCTTTTGATGAATATTCTTGGTCATGTGGAGACTTCTATGAGCATACATCTGGACACAGCTATATGTGTTATGTATAGAATGTATAGAATGGACAAGACCACATTGTGGGGTAGGACCCCATTTCTTCATCTTACTTTTAATTCTGGAATGTGCAGGCCAGTTCCTAAAACAAATCAATGTTAGCACTTTCATCAGCGGTGGTTGGAAGTTTCTGGTCTAGCCTGTTCTCTGACATTTTAAGTGTGCATGCACCAGCTGGTATAGTTCAGTGAGTTGTGCCTCACTTGGAGTATGCACTCTGCTACCTGTGCAACCTTGGACAACCTGATTGGTCTCAGAGTGCTACCAGAATATATCACTTCTGAATAACTTCCACCTAGAAAATCCTGGGGGGTCGCTGTAGGTCAGAATCGATTTAATGGTCCATCATCATCATCATCGTCGTCGTCGTCGTCGTCGTCGTCATCATCATCATCATCATCATCATCATCATCATCATCATCATCATCATCATCAATATGCTAAAAATATTTTATACAGTGGTGCCTCGCTTGACGAGGATAATCCGTTCCAGCAAAATTGCTGTAGAATGAAATTGTCGTCAAGCAAAAGTAAAAAACCCATTGAAATGCATTGAAAACCAGTTCAATG